TCGGGATATAGGGATTTAAATAAAATTTGAATAAATCTCCCCCTTCAAGCGGGACGATGGAAGGAAAGGATGGAGGAGGGCAGGGGACGGGGGAGGGGGCAATTGGGGTGTCTCAACCCCCCTGGTCCCCCGGCCCTGCGCTGCTTCGGCCCGGGTCCCAGGCCGCCTCTCTCATCCCTCCTCAGCTCCTTCCTCCTTCCTCCTCTCCTCCCCCTCCCTCATCCTTCCCTCCTCCTCCTCCTCCTCTTAACTCCCTCCTTCTCCCAAAGGAACCCCGCCCCCTACCCCCTCCTTCCCACACCACCTTCACTTTTCAGGAGCACGCGCAGGGCACGACGGATGTCGTAGTCCTGCGGACCCTTGGACTACCGTGGGACTAATGGGACGCTGGGGTCAGCTGGGACTACAAACAAGATGGCCGAGGGCGTCCCAATCCGGGAGCCGAGGATGCCGGGAGTTATAGTCCGGTTGCCCCGAGGCTCCCAGTTGCACAACATAGAGAAGGAGCGGTAATGATGACTACAAACAAGATGGCCTTCTCCCACGACCCGACCTCCTTCCCAGGCATTCACACGCCCTCCTGTCCACAACCCTCCGCGTGTGTGGTACCTGACGGGAGTCGCAGTCCTTCTGCTGCCTTCCCGCTGCCATTTCTACTCTTCAGGAACAATGGAAAGGTGAAAAGAAACGAGGACTACAGGCAAGATGGCGAAAGAGGGGCGTACACCTGACTAGTAGTCAGCCTTATGAGGTGCGATGGGAATAGTAGTTTTCTAGCCTTCTGGTATTCCTTAAGAATAGTAGAACCAGGAGGATAAGGAGACTACCATAAAGATGGCAGGTTACCTAGCCTCTCCTGGTCGCTTCATTCTACCACCTTGGGCACCTCGCCCGCCTGTAATATCAAAATTCCCCCACCAACTAGCGCAAAGCATGACGGGAGTTGCAGTCCTCCACCCTCCTCTCTATTCTCTTCAACAAACAATGGAAGGAGAATGGGGCGTGGACTACCGGCAAAGATGGAGACCGAAGGAAAGGGGCGATGGCCACATGGGATTTGTAGTCCACATGCTAACGCTGCTTCTTGCAGAAATACGGGAAAAGACTACAGTAAAGATGGCAGCCTAGTTGCTCTAGACCTCTGCGCCAGTGCCCGCTGGGGGACGTAGTCCCTTTCCTAGTTTTACAGAGAAAGCACATTGGTGGTAGAAACGTGCATCACGGCGGACTCGCCAAATTGCGAGCCGACGGAAACAGAAAGCTTCTTTCCTTCTTTCCCTGCCACCCCGTTGTTGAACGGCCTGTCGGGAAATGTAGTCCTAACTCTCACCCGCTAACGGAGAAGGAATATCTATGTCTAGCACATAACGACAACAAGTGGGGAGTAGTGCCAGCAGAGGAGAAAGACAGCTGCACATCCAGGAATATTATAATGTCTGCCTTCCCGTGGGGCGAGAACTTAATATTTCCCAGAAAGGCTTGCAGCAGGAAAGCAACAGCAATCGGGATTGTCGCTTCAGGGGAGGCGTGGTTCTCGCCTAGAGTACCATCACCCAGATGTCCTTCGAAAAGCTTGAACACCTCAAGTCTTCAGGCTGTAACGTCATACAAAATCCCCGCCCCTCCTTGGGAAGTCACCAAACCTCGGTTTTCTCATCTGAAAAATGGGGATAATGACACCTACCTGGAAGCTGAGTTAGGAAGGTTAAACAAGATAATGGTCAGGAAAGTGTCCAGCTCAGGGCCTGGCATGGGGCACGTGTTGATAGTTCCTTTTCCGAGGTCCCTTCCAGCTTAGCAGTTGTGGGATCCCAGGAATCCACCTTAGCGGACAGAGTTAGCACCCGTGACAAGAAAACTGGCGGGCGAGGCTATCCCCATCTTGAGCCACCTTTCCTTTCTGGGTCCTCCACCGTCCACCACCGAGCTCTGCTCCCAGGGGGCGCCCAATCTCCATTTCACTTAGGTCCTGCAAACTGGCCAGGTTCCGCATCCCTTCCCTGCTCACCAGCCAGCCTTAGAGGCACCCCGCAGGACACCTTACCTACCAAAGTGAAAGGGGCTGCTTCCCATCTCTGTGCCTTCTTACCTACCTTCTTAATAGTCCTTCTCTGTCTGGAAAATTGTTCATTTCTTTCTGGCACTCTTCTCCAAAGCAGTCCCCAGTGGTTCCTTCTCATTTTTGTGTTTGAGAGGAGAGAGTTTGAGGGCCCTGTGGAAGACTGGTGGATGTGGTTTTTCAGGCAGGGAAGTTAATGCTGGCCAGTGTTGTGTGAAGTGTCAAGTTTGTACAGACCAGTCTCAGGTCACACTGAGGCTCCTTCCAACTCACTTTGTTGTGGTGGTGTTAGGTGCTGTTGAGTTCTGGCTCATAGCAACTGCACAAGTAATTTCTTTTAGAAGGAGCAGCACAAGGCTTGTCCTTATGAAGCAGAGGTTAAAGATGTCCCAAATGTCCAAATTTTCCAAACTGTTGTACCACTCCATCATCTCTAACAACCATTCCTCCCCCAGTACTATCCCTCTCATCTTGTTCTTGTTCGGCACCATTCAGTCTGTTCCAGCTCGTATCAACCCTATGTACAATAGAATGAAACAGTCACTGTGTCAATCAGGAGCTCTGGTAGCGTAGTGCCCTAGGCAATTGACTGCTAACCAGGAGGCTGGCAGTTCAAACCCACCAGCCATTCCTCGGAAGGAAGGTTGGACAATCTGCTTCCGTGGTGATACTGCCTCGGAAACCCAAGGAGGGGTTGCTATGAGTCGGGTCCGACTCCATGGCACACAACAACAACTGTGTCAATCCATTTCCTTGAGGGTCTTCCTGGCTTTTGCTGACCCTCTACCAAGCATGATAACCAGGGCCTGATCCCTTCTGACAATATGACCAGCGTGAAAGATGAAGTCTGGCCATTCTCACTTCTAAGGAGCATTCTGCTATATTTCCTCCAAGACAGATTTGTTGGTTCTTCTAGAAGTCCATGGTACAGTCAACATTCTTCACCAACACCACAATTCAAATGCATAAATTCTTCTATGGTCTTTGTTTTGGTTACTTCCTGCCTCTCTAACAGAAATACCACAGGTGGATGGCTTGAACAAACAGGAATTTATTCTCTTACAGTTTCGAAGGCTAGAAGTTCAAGTTCAAAGTGTCAGGCTCTACAGGCTGGGTGAAAGCCCCTCAACCTTGGGCTTCAGCTCTACCTCTTGCTCCAGGCCCACTGAAGCTGGAGGCTTTCTTCACTCAGGCAGCAGGTGGCTGCTGAGGCTGACAAACCCAAGGTTGACAAGTAAAAAGGCACAGTCCTGATATTACCAAACCACATGGCAGGCCATTGATTCAAGTTCGTTAAGAGTCCCAAGATCATCAGACAACATAGCAGACTGCTGAATAGTGACTCGGCTATATACAGGATTCAAGATGCCAAAAGCTACAGACTACTCCTAAAGCTTTTCTTTATGTACTGGGAGCAGACCACATCCCTAAGGCAGCTACTCAGATGCTCATAGGAGATTCCGCCATAGAGTTGATTACCAGTCTCATTATGGGGAATACTACACCCAGCTGCCTAGCCACTGAAAACCAGGCCCAGCCAAGTTGACACGTAACCTTAACTACCACAGTCTAACTTATTCATTGTCCAGATCTCACAGGCATATGAGGCTATTGAAAATACCATGGTTTGGCAAAACTCAAAATCATAAAATAAGACTGGGCTTCCTGGTCTGATGAAGACTGGTGGAACCCTCAAGACTATGGCCCTCAGATACCCTTCAAGCCAGGAACTGAACTGAATGCCCGTGATTCAATTTCAGCCTATAAGGTGGGTGTACACACAGAACAATCAACCATATGAGATCAAAAGGGCAGCATTTGCCCAGGGCTTGAGCAAGGAAGGCATAGAGAAGGGGATGGGAAGGAAGGATGAAGGAAAGAGGTGGGCTAAGAAGAATGCTGTGGCAGTGTGGGTCACAGTGTCATATAATAACCACTAGTTGAAGATCATCACCTCATGCTGAAAGATGGAGCTTCACCCTCTCTTCACTGGCATCTCAGCTGCAGCTTCCAGAGGCTGTTCCTTCACCCTAACAGGCCAGCAGCTTCTGGATGTGGTAGAAGATGATAGTGTATCCACTACCTCACTTTCTTT